CCTTATTAATGTCATAATTATACCTTATTAATGTTATAATTATACCTTATTAATGTCATAATTATACCTTATTAATGTTATAATTATATCCTATTAATGTTATAATGTTATAATTATATGTTATTAATGTTATAATTTTGTAAACTATGTAACTTTCATAACATTAACACTGATGGACGGGAGGGGGGGGATACTCTTGCCGATGGCCTTCATAGGCCTATGTATGCCATTGATGCTGTTGACTTGTTGAGATCCTGTCTTTCGTCTTGATTTCCTTGTTCCGTGTTGCAGATTTTGTGAAAACGTCTAAGTTGGCCTAGAATAATAATTTCCTTAACGCCATGGAGGTAATATGACTCAAGATGCAAACTGAGAGGTTTTATGTTAGTTTTATTTTTTACGTAAATTCGTTATATATACTATCATCGATAATAATTACAGAAACCAAAAAAAGTGTAGATTTAATATTCGTGTCACTACGTTAAGTGAATACTAAATCATCTAATACAATTTGTAACTAAACACACACACACACACACACACACACTCAAACTCTCGTCATTTAATCGGTACCAAAGAAGTCTGACTAACACACACACATTCAAACTCTCGTCATTTAATCGGTACCAAAGAAGTCTGACTAACACACACATTCAAACTCTCGTCATTTAATCGGAACCAAAGAAGTCTGACTAACACACACACACACACACTCAAACTCTCGTCATTTAATCGGTACCAAAGAAGTCTGACTAACACACACACACATTCAAACTCTCGTCATTTAATCGGTACCAAAGAAGTCTGACCATTCCAGACACTCAAACTCTCGTCATTTAATCGGTACCAAAGAAGTCTGGCTATTCCAGATTCCATTCCACATGTGCACTGTTTTCAAAATAATGTGTAAAAAAGTTCACGGTCCTCCCAGTAGATCAGCGGTAAGTTTGAGAGCTTATAACGCTAAAAAACAAAACTAGAAAGGGAAGTAGAACCCAACGTATAACAATAGATTCAGAAGTAATTAATGGAGCATTGTTTTCTAATCTTCCAAGAAAAATATCTGTGCTATTAGGTTGTGCAGATACTTTATTTATACAAGTAACCATGGTAACGTGGCATATGATGGGTTACAAATCGCAACAATAGGTTATAAAGGAATGTCATTCTCATGTTCCTTAGCTTGTCCCGTGTATTTTGGGAGCTCTAGTATATTAGTTTTAATCCATGAAATCGTGCATCTTAAGCCTTTTTTACTTGACAATTTGTAAATGTTTATTTCGTTTTTGTTTCAAGTTTTTAGTGGAGGCTTTATATAGACGTTCGTGGAAAAAAAAAAAACATTTAGCAGATCCTCAAGTGTCTGAGTATATAATGCAGTTTGCACAACCACAAATCCTTTCCTCTTGTCACTAACTTCTACGGTTACGTCGTTGTTATTATTTACCTAATACAAGCTTAATACGATAATCTCAAATTTTTATTAATTTTAACAACTTGCTCTATTAACTTCTCAAATTTACTTTTGGTAATTTCGTTAGTTCTTGGAGGAAGACGAGTCTGTAAGGTTCAATTGGGTTTTGATAAAAGATGAAAGGACATTTCTCTTTAGAGTTTTTATCAATATTCTCTGCGGATAGTCTTTCCTAACTTTGTACTAATAGACTAGAGAGAAAGTAGCTAGTCAACGACACTCGATGACAACGCTTGGGTTACTCTTGTCTGACCAAATAGTAGAATTTGACCATCAATTTTATGTGGCCCCAAAGTGCAAAGCAAGTTTTTTTGTAGCAATCTTATGTGACCCCAAAGTGCAAAGCAAGCTTTTTGTAGCAACCTTATGTGGTCCCAAAGTGCAAAGCAAGCTTTTTGTAGCAACCTTATGTGACCCCAAAGTGCAAAGCAAGCTTTTTGTAGCAACCTTATGTGGCCCCAAAGTGCAAAGCAAGTTTTTGTAGCAATCTTATGTGGCCCCAAAGTTCAAAGCAAGTTTTTTGTAGCAGCGAGATAACCATCATGGATCCTAGGATTCGACATCCGGACATGGTAACCACTAGGACACCCCTGCCCTATGCTAAAATAATATTAACGTTTTCAGAAGTTTTTCAGTTGTTCGTGTAATTACAAACACTCTTAGAAACATTATTATCAGGATTGGAAGTAGCGTAATCAAGACATCCAATATTATGAAAATTCGAATACCCAATTTTTGTCTTTACCGAAACATGGTGATATCAGAGCCTGAGCCATTAGTTTGTATATCAATACACATTTGGAGTAAATGTACAGGTTGGATCAGAGTTCTGATCTATATATAACGTATCATTGAAATGTTCGAAACGGTGCCACTAGACACTTAGCCCTTTAAGAAAACGTAAGCTGAAATGTTGGGTTCTAATGAACCTTTTATTTTTGGAGGTTGTGGTCGTATTTTTTCATAATGATTTCTAGCCTCCAGTATTACTTAACCATCTTTATACAGAAAAATAGTTTCATCTAAATTAACGTGAAATGATTTTGTACTTTTATGTACGAGTATGAAATTTTGAGTTGAAACTAACTTTTTGTATTTCTGTCTGTGAAAATTAAATATATATATATAAACGATGTAAAAATTAATTTCATTTCTAATACAGAAGCTGGGTACTTTATATATATTAAACTATTTTGGAGCCTCACCACGTCACAGTTCATGTCGCCATGTCCAGTCGTGTTCTGCCTGACGATCGCGCTTCTGGACAATAGCCCTGTAGCATGGTTTTCATTGCAAACGACTCCATCATAAGGTTGGCATGTTAAAAGCACACCACTCTTCCCTGAAAGCTTTCCATAATCCATATAGTATACGAGGACGACGGTTTCATAGCGCCCGTTTGAACAGGCAATAGCACAGAAATCTATCGGCGCTGCAGCAGGCATCTTGTCAGGCGTGTCTTCGTATGAAATAGCAAGAATATCCGTTTCATTCTTCAGCTGCTTGAGGTATGCGACAGTTGATATGTTGTGAAAACAGCTTGTGTATACGTGACTTGTTTCGCTTTTCCATTTTCCAGACGAAGATCCTTCCTGAATATGTTGCGTCCGTTGCCTGGAACACACGGACGGACGTCTTTTGCTTATTAACTTTTGTGTTCGTGGATTTTCACCTGTTATAAGACGATGCACTCTCCTTATCACATCTTGTGTACGACTTGTTGCAGGTCTCATTCTGGATGGTCTTGGTTTCCTGCTTTAATCCATATTCCCATGATTTTCAATGTCATTAAGTAGAAGAAAAGTCTCTGTCTTGAAAATTCTAATTCCCCGATCTGGACATTCTTTATGATCTGCATGTATGAATATCTTGCGTCGTAAAGAGTTGTTACACGCCCTTCCCAAAAGCGAGCAATTTCAGTAGCATCATGCTACGTACGTAACGTCAAAAAGTAGTTCTGATACATTTCTTGCTACCGTGACTTTATATCAGCTGTGGTTGTCACATGATTTGCTGATATGCTAATTTAAAATCGTTGTAATGTACCGTGCTTAACCATCTGTGTAATAAATGAGCTGAAATCACACAAATAAAAGGTAAAATGAGCTTTGATAAAAAGAAATCATTAAGAAATTTGTAAAATAACATAAAATAACAGTCTGTGTTTAACATTAATATCAGCTTTTTTCTCTTAGCCTCATTTCCTTATCATAAAAATAACTTAAATTACTTAAATTTGATTTTTCTCTTAATCCACCCTCACTTTTATGAGTTACTCTCCACCTCGCGTTGATTAATCACCCTCCACTTACCTTTATTAGTTACCCTCCACCTTTACCTTCAATAGATGCCTTTCACTCCACTGTTGTCTTTATTAGCTACCATTTCACTCCACTGTTATTTTTATTAGCTACCATTTCACTCCACTGTTATCTTTATTAGCTACCCTTTCACTCCACGGTTATCTTTATTAGCTACCATTTCACTCCACTGTTATCTTTATTAGCTACCCTTTCACTCCACTGTTATCTTTATTAGCTACCCTTTCACTCCACTGTTATCTTTATTAGCTACCCTTTCACTCCACTGTTATCTTTATTAGCTACCATTTCACTCCACTGTTATCTTTATTAGCTACCATTTCACTCCACCTTGATTAGTCACTCTCCACTTTTTATCCTCCACACCAACTTTAATTACTTATCCTTACCCTACCTTCATTATTTACACCCACTCTTTCCTTGATTTGTCACACTCCACACCCGCTCTTTTAAGTTACCCCTACCCCACCTTGATTCGTTACATCCATCCTCACCTTGATTTGGTACCTTAATCAGTTTACCTCCACCCTCACCTTGATCAGAAATCCATTGTAAAATCATATTATTTTATACCAAAGTTGTAAAGTGTTGGGAATTTTGGAATTTAATATTAAAACAGTTCATGGGGCTTTCCTGTTTAATGTTGTTTTTGTTTGCGACCTTTTTTTACTAGTTCTTTCTCATTTCGAACTGTTTTATAATACATAGAAACTTTAACTGAATTTTAATTCTAGCTAGATCTTTCGATATACCCTGTTCCTTATTACAATAAGCATATATTTACAGTATGCATATATTTATTAACCTCTTCTTCAGATAAAATTAAGATTTATAATATGAGATTTCACTTTACGTCCGGAGTGTAAAATTAAGAGCTGTTTATTCGGCACTTTTTCAAATAGTTGGGATCTTTTATTTCTGCATAAAACAACCAGTTTTTTGGGGTTTATTTCGGGAGTATTGAACTACAATGAGTAATGTATGATATTTTTGTATTTTCTCGTCACTCCTTTAAAAACATTTATACTCACTTTGTTTTCTAAAACCTTTTAAGAAATGTTTCAAATGAATTATACAAAATTACAACACTTCTTGTTTCCTTCTGTTTACCTTGAGACGAATTTTAATTTTAGCAAACAGTTTTCATTTCATGATCACTCATAAGATACAGAGTAAATTTCAAAACCGTTTTCCTTTTCACTCAGGCTATCCGATGTACGGCCCTCAACTGTTCTTGTGACTGTTTTAAGCCAGGTAAAAGATATCAACGGATCTGTAGCGCCTGTTCTCACGGTTGGGTGTCTCATGGTAAGTAGAAATGGAAACCTGTTTCGAATATCACATATGTTTTGCTGTTTAAAAAAGGCTTAAGTTTCCTTTTCAATTCCGTGTAACTTTTTCTCTTGTACATACGTTAATAAATATTTTTGGTTTGTCAGTCTATCCCTTAAGTAAACGACTAACAAGGTTTAAAATCTGTTGGATTCTTGAGTTGATGCCTAACTCTGTAAATGAACTAACCACATATCAAACATAACAGAGATGAATACTACATTGTACGCAACAGTACGCAGTACCAACAAATGATTTTAGAAGCTATACTGAGTATCAGCTTAAACGCTTTTGTACCAATTTATAAGTATTAAATATCGTATTATGGTATATTTTTACAACATCCACTGTATTTTCGAAGTTTATAGACACCCAGTGGCACAGCGGTATGTCTACGGACTTACAACGCTAGAATCCAGGTTTCGATACCCGTGGTGGGCAGAGCACAGATAGCCCATTGTGTAGCTTTGTTCTTAATTACAAACAATCAAAATTTATAAATATTAAATATCGTACTGTGGTATATTTTTACAACACTCACTATCTTTTCAAACTATAAAACAACATAAAAAATCACAGAAGGTTCGCCCAGCGAATACACTGTCATATTTGTTTTTATGTTTTACCTGTGTATCCATAAAAATTCAGACACTGTTTTAATGAAATTATTTTTCTATAAATTATATTACCTAATTCAAAAAACATACATTTT